TTTCTTTTTATATATATAGGAAAATATACGCATAAAAATCTTGTTTTCTTTTACTTATTAAAAAAATATTCAGGTTTTACTAATTGGGAAATTGCAAGCATTTCCTTTTTTTTATGAATATGATGATGTTAAAGCAAGATTGGTCTGAAAATGTTCATTTTATTGCCAAGAGACAGATATTTTTTATCAGATATCTATCAGATATATATGTCTATATCTATATCTATATATATATATATATATATATATATATATATATATATATATATATATATATATATATATATATATATATATATATATATATATATATATATATATATATATATATATATATATATATATATATATATATATATATATATATATATATATATATATATATATATATATATATATATATATATATATATATATATATATATATATATATATATATATATATATATATATATATATATATATATATATATATATATATATATATATATATATATATATATATATATATATATATATATATATATATATATATATATATATATATATATATATATATATATATATATATATATATATATATATATATATATATATATATATATATATATATATATATATATATATATATATATATATATATATATATATATATATATATATATATATATATATATATATATATATATATATATATATATATATATATATATATATATATATATATATATATATATATATATATATATATATATATATATATATATATATATATATATATATATATATATATATATATATATATATATATATATATATATATATATATATATATATATATATATATATATATATATATATATATATATATATATATATATATATATATATATATATATATATATATATATATATATATATATATATATATATATATATATATATATATATATATATATATATATATATATATATATATATATATATATATATATATATATATATATATATATATATATATATATATATATATATATATATATATATATATATATATATATATATATATATATATATATATATATATATATATATATATATATATATATATATATATATATATATATATATATATATATATATATATATATATATATATATATATATATATATATATATATATATATATATATATATATATATATATATATATATATATATATATATATATATATATATATATATATATATATATATATATATATATATATATATATATATATATATATATATATATATATATATATATATATATATATATATATATATATATATATATATATATATATATATATATATATATATATATATATATATATATATATATATATATATATATATATATATATATATATATATATATATATATATATATATATATGTATCATATGTAGCAGCATTATAAGAGATAGTGTTATCACTTACCCATTCTTGTCACTTTCCAGAGGAGGAAAATAGCCGAGAAACAGAGAAGGAGAAGGCACGGCGACGCACCCTCAACTCCAGCATGGTACAAGAGGCCCTGTATGATTTCACAAATGACCCAGAGGTTGTCTATAACATGGATGCCCTGAAGCAGAAAGCCATCAAGCGACGCAAGGAGCTTGAAGCGTAAGAGGAGAACATTTCTGTTGGGATTTTTTTATATATATATATTTCTCATTTTGGTAATATTTCATCATGGTATGCAGAGTAAGAGCTGTGTAAAATGTATTTAAAAACACTTTTTTAGTAGTAACATATTTCTTCTTGGTGATAAGTTTTACCCATTTTAGCTTCTGGAGTCAGTAGCATTGGTAGTTGATTTTTTTCTTTGTATATATATGCCTCAGTGCAAAAGAAATGTCGTAATGTTCCCTTCAACCCCTCTTGGTCCACAGTTATGAGGAAGATAACTTTATAAGAAAGTCCCTGACAAAGCGAGAACGGGCCGCCATGAGTGAGATAACCACCGCGGGCACAATGGGGTCGGAGATCCTTGGTTTCAACAGCCTCGATGCCCTGTACGATGGGTATGAGCCAAAGGGACCGCAAGCCAAGAAGAGGAAGACGGGGAAGAGTCCGAAGGGTAAAGGCAAAGGGAAAAAAGGTGAGTGTCGGCCAGAGAGAGATTGGCCTCGGATTTCTCTTTTATCTTGCGGTACAAAATTATGGTACGGCCACCATTTGGAGTTTGTCTTCCCCTGTTTATCCTTAGTCCTTTACTGTGGATCATTTTCATTTTCCTTTCTGTGTTTGTAATACTATATCTGTTGCATTGCACTGGGTATATATTTTTCATGGGTTTATTATTCATACACAGAATTGAGACTTATGTTTATTATTTTTTTCTTTTTCAGGTGGCAAGAAAAGAAAACATTAGATTCCAAAAGGTTTTTATATTTGATATTGTTGTTGCATATGTGAAGTGTAAAGTCCACATAAATATTATTTGAATTAA